CTCCCTCACTCACTCACTCACTCACTCACTCACTCACTTACTGTGTATTTTATGCTGTAAGCCGCCTAGAACCGACCGGATAGGCGGGATATAAAATAAATAAATAAAATAATGCTGCCTTAATCAGTCTCAGGCTTGCTCCTTGAGACCCTCTGTGGGAAGGAGGTTGGAGCCGTTATCAGCCAACTTTTGTCTCTTATTATTTCTTTTGACATCTGAGCTGGGACACAACGTTTGGTTAGTTTTTACTGTGGTTTGTCAGCTTTGAACTATAAATTATGATCCAGGTTTGTTCAGATGAGATACCAATTTGCACCCCTGAGATTTGTATATATTTAAATTAGCAACCAAGTGTCTTTGCTCTACCCACAACCGCACATGTATTTCTCCTTGGCTGCCTGTTCCTCCTTTCAGACACAGGACTGGTCTTAACTAATTTTACAAGTTTCCTAAGAAAGGTATGTTCGGCAAGAGAAGACTTGGATGTTGTTAGGGTAGGAGAGTTGGGTATGGGGTGGGATTTGCTTACTAAATGCTAAATGTTTTAGGAGGTCTTCCAGAAGGAACATGCAAGTAACAGCATGAAAACATGGGGATTGCGTGCAGCTGGATGGTTGTCTATGTTTGTAGGCATCAGCCTTATGACCAGAATTATTTACACCTTGGGTAAGTTTTGCTGACTGTGATAAGGCATGATTTGAAAATAAAGCATTAATTAAAATCTTGGATCCAGGCAACTTCAGTACTAGGGAGCAGTGCATTGTAAATTTGAACATTAAGTTATATCTACAAAGATGTATTAGCATGGCTAATGGTCTGTGATTCTGCAAGCTGGAACTCAGGAGTATCTGGAGATCCAAAGCTGAGCACCATTATTTTACAGGACAGAACCATGGAAGGTTTTTCAGTGCTTTCGACACCAGAAATTAGAAGATGGCTCATTGCGACAAGAGCACAAGGCATTAGTTACTCCATTAGTTAGCTATAATAAATATGTGCTCCTGTAAGTCCTGAGAACAACAAAAATTTGCTTAAATACCTCTAGAATTTATTGGAAGCTATGTTACATATGTGGAATGTGTTTAAATCCTGCTTTTTTGTAATCTTGTTGCAAGATCTCTTGAAACTCTCGTTTAAAGCACTTTGTCTCCTTCATTGTAAAATTAGGGGAAAGCTGATCCAACCTGCCAGTGCTCTGCCCAAACTCATGTTTATCACATTTATAGATCACCTTTTCCCACTCAAGAGAGGGTTGGTGAATAAGTGGTCCTCCTGATGTTGTTGGACTATAACACCCATCACCCCTTACCAGCTTAGCTAATAAAGAAGGGGATGGTGGAAGTTGTAGCTGTCTAAAATGCCACATTTGTCCCTATCTCTGCTCTGCCTTGCAGGGATTTTTTCAGTTTACCTTTTGAGTGTGTGGGCAAAATGTAGACCCTGATCTACTATTATTTTAAAAGGGTTTTCTACTCACAGTCAATTTTGCATGAAACAGATCAGGGAGGACTCCCTTCAGTACCCCAAAATATAAACAGAAAGTAGGCATCTAGACACTTCAGATATTGATTTTTCAAAAAAAAACACATTTTCTGGGACTGGTGTGGGACTCTGTGAGTGCTCAGGAGAAAATTTGGCCCTTAGGCCCATGAGATTTGACACCATACTTTTATAAGAACTGCTCTGTGGTCAGGTAGGCTAAGGAATAATGACTATCCCAAGCTTAATCTGAACTTTGTGGCCAAGTGTGGTCTCCTCAGTCCAGTTTAAAAGGTTCTGCCTCCCCATGGCCAGTAAGACGGGACCTTCAAGTGAGTAGGGAATTGTATCTTTGATACGATGACAAGAATGTGGGGAAGAGAACAGGAGTACAAATTAGTAAAGGATCATGTTTTTACCAGTTTCTTTTGAAGATCTCCATATTGAAGAGCCATGAGGAACTAGAAATTGGTGGCTAAATCCTGTTGCACATTTACTCAAAAGGCATCACTTTTGGAGGCAAATTGATGCAAGTTAAGAAATCTCTCTAGGCATTATCTGTTGAATACTGATTGGTGCATTTTGGCCAGCAGATGCTTCATTAAGTCTGAAGCAGAGTTTAGCAGTCACATGTGTCTAGCTGATTTTTCAAGGTGATGCCAGTACTTCATTCCTTGTTTAATTTTTCTCTCTCCTACAGTGGATTGGTTTCCAGTAGTCCGGGACCTGGTTAACATTGGCCTGAAGGCATTTGCCTTTTGCTTAGCCACTTCTCTGTCCCTGCTGACCATTTCAGTAGGCTGGCTCTTCTATCGGCCCCTCTGGGCAATACTGATTGGGTTGCTGGCGGCCGTTCCCATTGTGCTCGCAAGGTCCCGGGTTCCACCCAAGAAGCAACAGTGACATTGTGGAGAACATGTCTTGCGATTTGCTTGGGAATCTCTTCAGAAGAATGGAAGATCTAGAGCTTCCGTCATATCTAAAGCAGTGATCATCGAGTGTATGTGCAGGTCTAGACACCCTTTGACTTCCCAGTATAGATGGAACAGTGGACCTCCGTGCAAAATGTTTGTACCGTTTTTTTTTTTAAATAATGTGATCATGTGGAAAAATGGACTCTGTGGCATAGAAAGTTCTTATGCCTAACATTAAACACAGTTAAGGGAAATTGACTTTATCACTTGATTAAAACATCTGCTGGTCCTGTTTGGAAAATACAGGGATATGTGCTCTTGATGGGGACCACATCAGGTTTTGCAACCCATGTAAAATCGTTTCGCTTTCAGTGCATCTTTTATTTCAAACAGTACTTTTATGTATTTTTTTAATGCATGCAGTGGTTTGCAGTTTCTACCTGATCTTACTTCATTTGTCTCCTGCTCGTCTGGCTCTAATCAAGTTTTTTTATGTACTTTATCTAAAGAACCTTGAATGGTACAAGGGGTGAATTTCCCACACCACCTTGGTTAACGTGCTTACCAACCCTTTTCCCTCATCTTTTTGAAACTGTTGTATTCCGCCTGGAAAGGTAGGACAGAGTTTTGTCCTCTCCACTTCTCTTTCTTTAGGAATAGCACCAATACAGTAAATGCTGAATGAACTCAGTGGCATCTGTGCTTGAGATAAGGGGGTTAGTTCACATTAAGAATTATGCCTCCAAAAACCTTTTACGCTTTTAAGAACTTAATTGGGAAACTGGGACTGAACTTGTAAACCAGAGCTGGGAAATAATTAGCCCACCACTTAGACTAT